TTAGTTTTACTGATTGTTTCCTTTTCTGTGCAGAAGCTTTTTATCTTAATGAGGTCCAAATAGTTCATTTTTGCTTTTGTTTTCCTTGCCTCTGGAAACATGTCAAGAAGTTTCTGCAGCCGGGGTCAAAGAAGTTGTTGCCTGTTTTCTCCTCTAGGATTTTGATGGTTTCCTGTCTTACATTTAGGTCTTTCATCCATTTTGAGTTTATTTTTGTGTATGGTGTAAGAAACTGCTCCAAGTTCATTCTTCTGCACGTTGCAGTCCAGTTTTCCCAACACTGTTTGCTGAAGAGACTGTCTTTTTTCCATTGGATATTCTTTCCTGCTTTGTCAAAGATTAGCTGGCCATATGTTTGTGGGTCCATTTCTGGGTTCTCTGTTCTGTTCCATTGTGTCTGTTCTTGTGCCAGTACCATACCGTCTTGATGATTACAGCTTTGTAGTATGGCCTGAAGTCTGGAATTGTGATGCCTCCAGCTTTGGTTTTCTTTTTCAGTATCGCTTTGGCTGTTTGAGGTCTTTTCTGGCTCCATACAAATTTTAGGATTGTTTGTTCTAGTTCTGTGAAGAATACTGGTATTATTTGGATAGGGATTGCTCAGAAAAGTTTTAAAGCAAGGATGAGTAGTACCAGACCATATATGTCAAAATCTTATGGCTGTTATTGTCATCTTAGACTATGGGGAGGACCCTGGATAGTTTTCCCAAATGTTCATGTCTTGACCTCTCAGGTGTCTGTGTTGTTAGGATCTCAGCTATTCTCTTCATCTAAAAGACATTTCTAGGTTGCCTTCAAAATAGAGGCATCAACTACTGGATTTTTCTCTGAACACACTACCTTTTGGAACTGCAATGTGATCCTTCAGGGCCTCCTTCTGCCACGAAATACTGGCTGGGGGTGGGGGGGGGGAGCGGTGGTGATAGTGGTGGAAGCATTCAATTAAGTGATGAGCCAGTGTCATCTCTGTGGAGGACCCCAGCTTCCCTTAAAACCGGTGGCGAAGCTTGTACCCAGTATAAGGTAATAAAGTATAGCCGAGAACCATGTAGTAATTATCTTTTATCCCTCGAAGATCTCAGAGATTTGTGTCCCGTTTCTCTGTCCTGTTACGGAGTATAGAGAAAGCAACAAATTTTGGAGACAAAGGGACCTGGCTTTGGTCTTAGCGGGGCCACCGCCAGAACTACAGCCACATTTGTGTTTTCATGTAATGTATAGTGTGCTGTGACTGATTGGACTTAAGTATGCACAACATTGGGGATTAACAGTTGACACATAAGCAGGTAGTTACTTCAAGTCAACTTTTAGGAAAATCCTGTTTTGCGCAAGTATTAACACAGGGGATGGCGACGATTCTGGGCTCGGAAATGCCCTTTTTCCACTTAGCTTTTGGAAAAGGAACGTAAGGCCGAAAGGAGGTCTAACGCCCACCAGCGGGCACCGCCCCCTCTTAGCCCCACCCCTACCAAGGCCCCGCGTCCTTGCTATTGGTTCCTTTCGCTGCGCCGTCCGTTGCCGTGGAGACCAAGGCTATGGCAACCAGGAGAAGCCAAACTTGGTCCTTCCTCTGGAACCGCGAGGGCTCCAGGACAAGGGGCTGGACTCCGCGCGGAGTTCATGGCGCTCTACGAGCTTTTCTCTCATCCGGTGGAGCGCGGTTACCGCGCGGGGCTCTGCTCCAAGGCCGCGTTGTTCCTGCTGCTGGCCGCCGTGCTCACGTACATCCCGCCGCTGCTGGTGGCCTTCCGGAGCCACGGTGAGCTTGCCCGCGGCCGCTGAGCGCACAGTTCCCCGCGGCCCGCTGTGCCGGTGCCCGCCTTCGTGACCTCCCCATTGCCCTCTCTATCTCAGGGCTTTGGCTGAAGCGGAGCAGCTACGAAGAGCAGCCGACCGTGCGCTTCCAGCACCAGGTGCTACTCGTGGCCTTGCTGGGACCCGATCACGGCGGGTTCCTGGCCTGGAGCACGTTCCCCGCCTTCAACCGACTGCAGGGGGATCACCTGCGCGTCCCGCTGGTTTCGGTAAGTGGTTCTCCCTCAGGCCTAGAGGCCCACCGGGACTGGGAGAGGGTGGCGGGGGGAGGGTGAGCGGGCCCGGCCTGGGGAAGCCCAGCTTGGGTCTTAAGGGTCGTGAACCCACGAAAATTGTGTACACAGGCACATTGGCCTGTGTATATGTTTAATTTCCCGGGAAGTGACTCTGTTGACTCATTTGACTTCAAGCAGTCCGCAACCCCAAGAAAGTTAGCCACTGCTGTTAGCATGTGTCCTACACAGAGACCCGAAGCCTGGGGATAGCCTGTGTCTCGTCCCCGTCATTTCCGTGGGCCTGGCCTGATGGATGAGTGGTCGCGAAAATTCCTTTATGAATCACAAAGGCCGAAAGGTGTTCTTATTAATTACCCCACTGTGTCGCTGCATTTGTGCATCGTCCCAGAGACCGGGAAGGGCATGCATTTTTAATGCAGACTTGACACGTGGAAGCCGAGGCGCTCATTGGTCAAGCGACCTCCCCAGAATGTGCGGGGCTCAGTCCCGCCTCCCTGGATTTGTAAGGGTGGCTGCTGCTCCATTTTGCAGCTGTCCAGGATGAAAAGGAAACATTTTACTGTCTGTAATTTAGTATTTGGTTCAGGATGAGTGTTTCCTCTACATTCACTCCCTTTCTGCTCATTTTCTGAAAACATTTTCCTTTAGAAGTATAAAAATTCTATTTTTTCTTCTTCCAAAGTTGAATCTCTTTACCTCCAAAATTTTTTTAATCTTATTGGACATATGAATAACAACAAACAAAATATGAATTCAGATTGTTTTTTTCTGATTACTTTAAATTTTCATATTTTTTTCTGGTGGTAAACATGCATGCTCATTGTAAAATATTAAAGAATTACAAGTATATATAATGACAAAATTAAAGGTACATGTTAGGCATATGTATACTTGTTAATTAACCTTATTCTTTTTAAAATCTGCATAGTATTTCACAATATGGAATAACTGTAATGGATTTAACAATTCTCTCTTGGTGAATGTTTGATGTGCTTTTACTTTTTCACTGTTAGAATACTGCAGTGAACAAGATTTTGAGTAAATCTTGCACCTTTAAACATCAATTTGTGAGGAATTGGAATACAAGCTGTTTGTTGAAATTGTATCAGTAAACATAAAACTAACCAAGGAAATAATTACTAAATCCAGTGAAATAAAAAGTAAGGAAAAAGGAGAAAGGTAAAGGATTTACTTAGTCATAATTAATGGGAACACTGAATATAGATTGACTAACCAAAATGAGAGTTAAACTCAGTTGAGGAGTGGAGGGCAGAAAACTAACCTTTCATCTCTCCTTGTGGCAAGTCAATAGAGAATGCCCAACACTGAGAAATACAGAAGTGCCTGTGCCAATGTTATTTAAAGACATGGAGATACATTTCTACATAATCAGTAAATGAGATGAAAATATTTGCCATGGGGCTGGAAGTCTGCTGCGTTTTGTAACAAACATTGTTGAACACCTTTGATTCTTTAAATGATCAGGTATTTTAAATTAATTTTAGAGGCATCTGGGAGGCTCAGTCGGTTAGGCGTCAGACATCGGCTCAGGTCATGATCTCACAGTTGGTGGGTTCGAGCCCCACATCGGGCTCTCTGCTCTCAGCATGGAGCCCGCTTTGGATTCTCTGTCTGCCTCTATCTCTGTCCCTTCCCCATATCTGTTTCCAAATTGCATTCTCCCTCTCTCAAAAATAAATAATAAAAACATAAAAAAATTACCAGATGGGATTAAAAAATTGATTTTAAAACATAGAACTGGAGTAGGAGATAAATCTCCTTCAGTAACTCCTCACTAATCATTACATGTTGCCCATTTTTATTCTTACTGGAGATGATAATGCCTGTGGAGAAGGGTGACTATGGATGAGAGGCTGTGTCAAGATGTGCTTACTTTTCACTGTATACCCACTGTATTTCTCGTGTTCCACATGCATGTGATTACTTTCCAAAAGTGGAAGCAAAAGCGTTGTTTATTCCAAACAAAAAATTAACTTGCTCGTTTTACTTTAGATTAGTATTCCCTGTCTTTTAAGTTTTTGGTAGAAGATTTTTTTCATCACATTTGTGTATTCCTCTCTATCATACTCCCTGGTTACTTGAGTCTAAGAATTAATTAGGAAAACTTAAAAATAATCATGAAAACGAGGATACAACATTAGGTTTTATTCATTTGTTCATCCACCAGCTGACTGGCTTCCCCAACTGACTGCTAGTTAGCGAGGCTCTTATCTCTGTAACCGGAAACTACTCCCTCCACAGCACTGCTCATGTTCCCCCTGCTTCGACAATTTTTCATCCACGAAACCAAAACAATCTCTTATTTTTATGGTGCCCAGAACTATTAATCCTTTTTAATACCAGGTAATTTTACACTATGTAACACAAAGCCAAAGCTCCTTTTTCCTAGTCTTTCTTTTCCCTCCATTCCAGGCCAGTGTCTATAAGTAATCTATGAGTATGTCATCTGTGTTCTTTCTCAGTAAATGATTTGCTTCATTCTAGCTGAGCCCTTGGTTTGAGAATAATTTCCAATTATAAGATATAAATCAATGAGCTAGAAGATATAGTGCAAGTACAGATCTCAACAGCAACTCAACAAATAAACTCATTAGGAATAAGCTTAACAAGAAATGTACAAGATCTATGTAAATAAAAAGACTGGTGAATGACACAAAAGAGATCAAAAGAATGGTGATTTCTGTCATACTCTTGGATAGGAAAATTCAACATCATAAAGATACCTCTTCTCCCTTGGTTAATCTATACTTTCAATGCATTTTCAATGAAAACATAACAGTTTGGAGGGTTAGACAGAAACTCTAGGACAAAGAGAAGGGTAATACAAGGAGAATAGCTCTATCAGATAATAAACTATACGTTAAGGCCATAATAAGTAAAGCAGTGTGGTTTGAAGAACTTGTATAAAAAGTATAGAAAAGGACTCATATATCATAAAGGTGGCATTTTAAATCAGTGACGAAAGCTGACTTACATAATAAAATGGTGTAGGGACAACTGGGAAGCCATATGGAAAAAGTTAAAATGGAGCCAGGGCTCAGACTCTACACCAGAATTAAAGTCCAGACAGATAAAAATTCAATTTAAAATGTGAAATAAGGGGCACCTGGGTGGCTCAGTCGGTTAAGCCTCCAACTTCGGCTCAGGTCATGATCTCACGGTTCGTGAGTTGGAGCCCCGCGTCAGGCTCTGTGCTGACAGCTCAGAGCCTGGAGCCTGCTTCAGAGTTGGTGTCTCCCCTCCCTTG